AAAAAAAAAAAAAAAAGTAACTCCCACAGTGTCATTCCCCAAATTCAAAAAGTCACCACTGAGCTCCACCTCCAGACTCACCTGGCCCTAGGGCATTTTACCTTCTGGCCCTCTGCCCGGAACACCCTGCCCATGATCTCTGCCTGGCTGCCTCCCTGTCCCACCTCAGGCTGAAGCCTTCCAGGACACCAGAAAACACCTGATTTTACTGTACTCACAGCACTTAGGATTCTCTGAAGTTATCTTCTTTACCTTTTCAAAAAAACCCTAGCCCTGGGAGGACAGGAAATCTGCTCCTTCATTCGTTGCTGTATTTCTCAGCCCCTTGGATTGAAGTCCTCACAGTGCAGGAGTTGAGTAAGTGAGGTGATCTCTCTGATCACATCTTCGTATATCTCTTCTCTCCCTCACTCCTCCTTGCTATTCCCCTAATATGCCGGCACATTCCCACCTCTAGACCTTTCCCCTGGCTATTCCTTCCACCTAGGATGTTCTTCCTCCGGAGATCTGCCTGTCTCGCTCCTGTTAGGAGAGACTTCACTCCCTTTGGGTCTTTGCTTAAATTTTACCTTCTCAGTGACGTCTTCCCAAGCAGCCTGCTTAAAACTGCAACCTCTTCTCACACCACCAATCTCTAAGCGCCTGCCTTGGCTTCTCTTCCCCAGGTGATTATTGGCTGGGATACATATTTTACTCCTCATACACTAGAGTGACGGCTCCACAGGACAAGAATTTCTTTCTCTCTTTCTTGCTCCTAGCCCTATCTCCAGCTTATAGAAAAATAATTGACATACAGCAGGTGCTCAGTAAAATGTACTGCATGAGAGAATGTCTGACTCCTTCACCACATGTGAGCATGAGACAGGGGAGCTCTGGCACACTCGCCTCTGTGGCCACAGCACCTGGCACTGCTCACAGGACTAGGGTGTTCTCTCTTTCCTCCCAGACGTCCTCCACCCAACACTCCCTGCCGCCCCCACTTCCGCCTGTGTCCCACACCAGCCTCCCATGACCACTCACCTCCCCAAATACTACAGGCCTTAGAAGTGGAGGAGGAAGTGACTGCCTCTCCAGTTTTCTTACCAAAATGTTGGTTTTTCCGGGGGGAAATGAACCACTGGTGAGGAGGAAGAAAAAGAAAAGGAGGAGGAGAAGAGGGAGTACCAGCCGCCGCATCCTGGCCCAGAGGTGGTGGCAGGTGGCTTTTCTAAGATCCAGCTAAATACACCGCACCTGCCATGTGACTGCTATATGACCCAGGCCTGGAGGGGAGGTAGTGAGGTGTGAATGTCCAGTCCTGGGGTTAACAGGACAGGCCCAAGTTCCAGCTCTCAACTCAAAGGAACAATGGAACAAGCAGTGGGAGTGAATGGAAGTTTTCCAAGACCAGCTGCTGTATCCTGGTCCTTTTGCTGTGCTCACCTCGCTGCCAGCAGAATGGTCTAATCTGCACTTGGGCTCCAGCACTAGCAAGATCTGGGTTCAAATCTCAGCTACTACTGTCTGTGTGCTCTTGGGCAGACTTCCTAGCCTCTTTTGAGCCTTTGTTTCTCCACAGCAAGACAGAGGATAATAATACAAGGACGCTTGCTTACATTAGATGACATGTGTTGTGCTTTGCATAAGTAGGCACCCAACAAATGGAAGCTGTTATCTTTAGCTCTAGAATTAGAGTCAGAGTTTGAAGGATTTCAAAAGATCCCCTTGTCCAGTCCAATTGTATACTGTTGTAAAAAAAAAACAAAAAAAACAGCACTATGAATATTTTCTTTTACAAATGAGGTGACTAAGGCTCAGAGAAGTCTCAAAACTTCCCCCAAAGTCACAGAGCTATTCAGTAACAGATTAGATTCTAGTTTTCATCTTTCTACTCCCTCACCCCAGAGGCTAATGGCGAAGCTCCTCCTCTGGGGAAATGTTTGGTTTTTGGGGGGTTTTTTTTAGTCGAAGTTTCACTCTGTCGCCCAGGCTGGAGTTGTGGGAATCTTTCACAGAGAGAGCCTTCTTTGCCAGGAAGCAGCGTTTATTCATGCTGGCACCGGCTCAGTGAATTGGATTCACATCCAAAGGCTGAGCCTGGAAGGCATCAGGGTATTGCCTTATATACATTTTTACATTGTAACCCCCTTTGTCTCCCTACCAGGCAACATTTTTTGGTTATTATACATTTGATTGGACAATTCATAACTCTGGGCTACAGTTAACCCTACTTATCAGATGTTGATTGGTTTTACATAATCATCTCATTTGCATGTCCTATTTGCTGACTGTTTTACAGGATTACTATTATGATTGGCTTCCACCAAAAGTTTAAACATGTAGTCCACCAAAGTAAAAAGCCCATGAAAGAGAAAGCACAAAGAAACAGGAATTTATTTTCTCTTTTCTTACTCCTGCATTTTTAGAAGGGCCCCTGCCTCAATCCTTCTACCTCAGCCTTCCAAGTAGCTGGAACCAAAGGCATGTGTCACCACAGTTACCTAATTTTTTGATTTACTGTAGAGACAAGTTCTCGCCAAGTTGCAGGCTGGTCTCAAACCCCTGGACTCAGGCAATCCTCTTGCCTCTGCCTCCCAAAGTGCTGGGATTACAGGCATGAGCCACTGCATGCAGCAAAAAATAATTTTTTTTAAAAAGTAAAATTACTTATAAGACCTTTCATAATTCACTACCAACTGCAGCTCTCTTTCCAGTGCAATTGTGTTTCAAATAAACTCCTCCAGGCTCGGTGGCTCAGCCTGTAATCCCGCGATTTGGGAGGCTGAGATGAGTGGATTGCCTGAGCCCATAGGTTTGAGACCCGATGGGCAATTTGGCGAGACCTCATCTCTACAATAAATCAAAAATCAGCCGGGTGTGGTAGCGCGCACCTGTAGTTCCAGCTACTCAGAAGGCTGAGGCGGAAGGATTGCTGGAGCCCAGCAGGTCGAGGCTGCGGTGGCCGGGAGCAGCCACTGCACTCCAGTCTGGGCAACAGAGTGAGATTCCAACTCTAAATAAATAAATTCTGCTTAGTATTCTAGAATCAGCTTTGTCTGCACTTAGAAGGTTTCCTTTTCTACCAATTTACAGCCAAGCAAACAGAAACTACTCTAGGAGTTACAGAGAATTTTTTTTTTTTGAGTTGGAGTCGCACTCTGTTGCCCAGGCTGGAGTGAAGTGGCACGCTCCCGGCCACTGCAGCCTCAACCTGCTGAGCTCAGGTGATCCTTCCTCCTCAACCTTCCAGGTAGCTGGAACCACAGGTATGTGCCACCATGCCTGACTGATTTCTTAATTTATCGTGGAGACGAGATCTTGCCATGTTGCCCAGGCTGGTCTTGAACCCATGGGCTCAGGCAATCCTCTCACCTCTGCCTCCCAAAGTGTTGGGATTATAGGCATGAGCCACTATGCCTGACTGAAAGATAATTTAATATAGGAAAATGATCACACATGTGACAGAGGAACTGGGAAACCAAGCAGGAGGGTGTGTCAACTGAGAGATAAGCAACAGTGGGTGGCCCCAAAGACCCTGTGACTGGAGGAACAATGTGACAGACAGTGTGACTGGGGGGGTGTACAGAGGAGGGGCTGTGGGTAGCAAATATAAGCACTGCCCAGCCAGGCTCGGTGGCTCAGCCTGTAATCCCACACTTTGGGAAGCCGAGGTGAGTGGATTGCCTGAGCTGATGGGTTTAAGACCCGCCTGGGCAACTTGGCAAGACCTCATCTCTACAATAAATAAATAAATAAAATCCTCCGGGCGTGGTAGCACGCACCCGTAGTTCCAACTACTGGAAGGCTGAGGCGGAAGGATCGCCGGAGCCCAGCAGGTTGAGGCTGCGGTGGCTGGGAGCAGCCACTGCCCTCCAGTCTGGGCGAC